AGGGAGATTTCGGGATATCTGAAGACACGTGCCTTCCACCTATAGTGAACTGGGGGATCCTTTCCTTTTTGGGGGGTCACCATGACCTAAACCCTGAACCCTAAACCCTAAACCCCTAAACCCCAAAACGCTAAACCCTCAACCCTAAACCCCCAAAACCCTAAACCCTCAACCCTAAACCCTGAAACCCTAAATCCCCAAATCCCTAAAACCCTAAAACCCCAAAACCCTAAAACCCTGAAACCCTAAATTCTGGCTCCCAGGCTCTGCCCAAACACGCTCGGTTCACTCCGGCCGAGGAGTTCCAGACTCGGCGCCCTGGACAAAGAAGCCCCGCAGGCCAGGGTTTAGGGTTTAGGGGGCTAGGGGTTTTGGGGGTTTAGGGTTTACAGAAATTGGTTTGCGTGCCGGGTTTTGGGCCTGGGTGCCAAAGTGTGGGCCAGACGGAGGATTGAGCGCTCCCTTACAGATTGAGAGATCTTTCAAAGGGGCGGCGAGAATACGTTATCCTGGGCTTGAGGGTGCAGGGTTTGCGGATTACCCTGGCTTCCTGGCGTGAAGGTTTGGGGGTTTAGGGTTTGAGGGTTTAGGATTTAGGAACTTGACATCCTTGGAATGTGTGGGTCCAGGCCAAATGCACCGTAAACTCTAAATTGTAGTTTCGCCCGGTTTAAGGGGTTTAGGGCTGAGGATCCCTTGTAGCCAAGGAACAGCAGCGGAATGACGCGCTCTCTTTGCGTAGCTTCCTCGGGGCTCCACAGCTCCTGCAGCTCTCTCAGCCATCCATCCTAAAGTTCTTGAGGTCCTAGGTGTAAGGAAACCCTAAGGGGACTCCATACATGGAAGTCCCATATCAGGAGACCACTTGGGATCTTGGGGAGGTCTTAGGGAAGTCTTACGGAGTCCTTTATTCTGGGTGGCCCTCAAAACTGCCCCTTAATCAATAAAGCAGCGGGTAGTTGTAGGGGCTTTATAGGGATGATGGAAAATAACATGGAAACTACTATAGGGTTGAGAGGGCAACTTTATGAGATCATGCAAGTTTAGCATGTCAAGCCACAATCCTTGCTACCAAGGGGCCACAATATGCCTTTGGAGTCTTGCGCGGACCACCCCACCGTCGGAAGCTTCTCTTTACATGTCTTTTGCAGAAACGTTAAAAAACCTAAACCCTAAACCAGGATAACTGGGTTGGCCCCTAAAACCCTTTGAAAAATATTAGTATATAGGGTCCCTTAGTAAAGCCATCAGGGAAAATATTAAATATCCCAGGGGCCTACCCAGATAAAGCCACAAAAAGCCTGAGCCCTAAACCAGGATAAGGCCACCAACTGTGATTCCCCCTGGCCACAATTCCACTCTCCTGCTGCAGGGCCTGGCGACTCATCAGCCCGCGTGAGCATAAGACTGGGATGTCCTGCCACGCAGCTCGTGCAAGTAGCGGGGGTTTCCATAAATGAAGGGCCGAACATACTATAGCCCTTATGTAGGGACTGACAAAAAAGGGCCGTCGTTAATTTATGGAAACCGCAGTTTCTCAGGTTTGCAGTTCCACAGCTTTAGCTCCAATTGGTTCATGCGCGCTGCCCAAGGAACTTGAGCACGCCACTTCAACATGGGAATTGTCCAAGATGCACATGGCACGAATCTGCGCATGGTCAAATGCATTTCCCGTTTTTGGGGGGCTGAATCATCTTTTGTCCTATACTTCTTGCAGATTTCACAAATCACACTGACCAGCGACATGAGCACCAACAAGAAATCATACTGTTGATGGACAACATCCTGCATGACCCCATATACCTAAGCCGTTGAAGTTATGGTACTATAGCTTCCCGGGTCTCCTCATTTCGGGAAGCTACCACTTGGTGTAATGCAGGTTTTGGTCCATCCACCCTAGTAACATGGAAGTAGAGCTCTATTTCGTTCTATGTTACACATTTCATAGAGTTTAGGGTTTAGGGTAGGAACCGCAAGCTTCCTGGGGGTTAGTAGGGAATAAGGGCACATACTCCCTATATAATCCGTATATAACATATTCCCTTATTCCCTACTAACCCCCAGTAAGTAAGTGTTCATTGCTAGGGCTTTTCTCACGCTTAACCTTTTCGGGCTCATGTTGGACCCTCAACCCTAAAATCCTAAATCCTAAACGCTAAACCCTGAAACCCTAATCCCTAAACCTTAAAACCCTAAACCCTAAACCCAAGATTGGGCTTCGTATTGCTCCAAAAAAGTTAGGCCGATTGGATCTGATGCTCGCGCGTCAGCGACTAGCTCAGCCGGCACAAGAGCTCCGCTCCGCATGCCGCGCGGCTTAGGGCTTATAGTCCCCCTTAAGTGGATAGAACATAGGGGGGTTATATAGGGATAATGGAAAAGAAAATGGAAACTAACATTTAGGGTTAAGGGTTTAGAGTTTAGAGTCCCCCTTAAGAAGATAGAATATGGCTTTGGGTGTATTTTAATAAGGTCCCCATATACCACATATTCTATCTCCTCAAGGGGGGCTATAGGGTTTAGGACCTCCCAGTCTTTCTGAACAGAACCGGGAAAAACTCAACCGTTATCGCCATAAACCCTAAGCCCTCTAGACTCCAAACCGCTGCGAGTTACTTGACAGGTTGGGACCCACGCATGAAACCACGCGGTCTACCTCACACCTCCCAAGTACCGTTTATGGAGCCCAAATATCCAAAAGGTAGCACCTACATAGATCCTATATTGTACGTGGGGGGTTGTGGTAGGGTTTAGTTTAAACCAACCGTAAACCCTGCACCCTAATCCTAAACCTTAAGCCCGAAACCCTACACTCTCAACCATTGGGTTTAGGATTTGGGGGCTCCTGCTTGCTGAAGGATGAACCGCTCCCAGGCGATACTTGTCGGTTCGTCGAAGGCATCACATCTCAGCTGGCGTTACGTTTTCACACACTTTGACTCAAGAGTCTTTGTGGGGTGCTGTTACGAAACTTAACCTGAGTTGCCATAACATGTATATTCATATCCAACTTCTAGTATGATTTGCTACTAGCGGAGCTTTGGCGAGGTGTCCCCTAAACCCGAAACCTTACCCTTTTGACTTTTGGTTTGGATCGGGGCACTCCTGCGCTAAACCCTAGACCCTAAACCTTAAACCCTAAACCCTAAACCCTAAACCTTAAACCCTAAACCCTAAACCCTGTGTTGTGAGCTGGGCCTGGAAGTGTCTGAAGGCTTTAGGGAGAAGAGTATCCCTATCTAATCCCATGTGGGTGGTTATCAAAATGTTGATCCCTTTTTGGGTACTGTACCATAAATAGTAGGTGCCGTATTATAATAGGGATCCAAAAAGGGACCACAATTATGACAACCACCCATATCTATACGGTTTAGGTGCTTAGATCATATCCCTAAATCATACACGAATGGATCGCTAGTTTCCA